ATCATTGTGTTCATGATTTTGATATGTGTGGGATGTTGTAAATTAACAGGCTATCGATGGAAAAGACGCGAGGATAGCGCACTACTTTGACGTGATAGCTGGAACCAGCACCGGTGGCCTTGTAACGGCCATGTTGACTGCACCAAAAAACAAGGATTCTGCTCGGCCTCTTTTTGATGCCAAAGATATTGTTCCCTTTTACTTTGATGAGTGTCCTAAGATATTTCCCGTCGGGTAAGAAAATTTATAAGCGTCTAAATCAAACAATAAACATGTATAAACCAAACTATGTAATCATATAGAAAACATATTCTTTAGTAGTATCTGTGAAAATTGGTATGTATTCTTTCAACATTTCTTAAGGAAAAAAGAAGAAGATGAGGATCACTTACAGATATTCTAATTCTTTTTGTTTGAAAACAGAGGTTGGTATTCTTGGCTATCGCGTGTTCGCAGAATTCTGCGTTATCCCAAATACGACGGGAAGTATCTGCGAACTCGACTAGCAGAGGAAGAACTTCTTGGAGATAAAAGACTTGACGAGACACTCACAAACATTGTTATACCTGCCTTCGACATTAAGAAACTTGAACCAGTTATCTTCTCCTCTTACGAGGTTCCTTCTCCATTGACTTTCTTAACACAGAGACAACTGAAAATCTAATCTTGAATCAGTCTGACCGTAATTTTTGTTTATTTACTTTTGTTAAGGTGAAGGGTCAAAGTAGCTTGAACGTCAAGTTATCAGACATTTGTCTTGCCACATCAGCCGCTCCTACTGTTTTACCTCCTCATCAATTTTCCAGTGTAGATAACGAGACAGAGTTTAACCTCATCGACGGTGGTGTTGCTGCTAATAACCCTGTAAAACACCTTTCCTAGACCCCCTTTTTTTTTTTTAATACTTTTGGAAATTGATATATTTCTAGAATAATATAATTAAGGTTTCTTGGTCAATCTATTCAGTGTTAATTTGGGGTTTTATTTTGTAGACTCTGGTGGGTATGTCTGCTATGTCTAGGAGAGCTAAAGAGGCGAAGAGTGGAATGAAAAACATAGGGCCGTTAGAGTATCAAAAGTTTCTTGTGATTTCCATAGGGACAGGATCGGCAGAGCCTAAGAAGACGTACAACGCCCTAGATGCTGCGAAATGGGGAGTGTTATCTTGGATGTTCGACGCCAAAGATAGAACGACTCCTTTATTAGACGTTGTCTTTGAATCAGGCCGGGGCGTGGCCCAATACCACACCTCGGTTCTGTTCCAAGCCCTAAATGCCGAGGA